AAAAAAAAAGGCATTGCCAACAGTGGTTTTGTGTGATAGACACTACCAAGTACTTCACATGAATGGGTTTTTTTCAAATTTCTCTTACCATATCATATAACACGGTACTCTTGTTACTATTTTCTTGTTATATTTGAGAAAACAGAGGCTCAGAGAAGGGGTTTACCCAAAGCCACATGAGTAGGAAGCAGCAGAGCTGGGATTAGAACCTAAATCTATGTAAACCAGAGGCAGAGTGCTTATCCACACACCATCTCTCTGGAATAAAAAGGATCACTCAAGTCATCCATTATTAGTCAAATAGCCAGCGAATAATGCAAATTTAAAACAGAAGAGTTTACTTGTCCGACACTGATTTCCACTGGTTCTCTCTCAATAATTCTTGTATCTCTTTTTCAACCTATTTCTCCAAGATTCAAATTGTCAAGATTCCCTAAAAGGCAGGTCCTGTGCCAGGAATCTGCTGCGCATGGCACTGAGGAGACTAGGAATTAACCAAGAATATTTTTATTTATTTATTTATTTTGAGACAGAGTCTTGCTCTTTCACCCAGGCTGGAGTGCAGTAGCACAATCTCGGCTTACTGCAACCTCCACCTCCCGGGTTCAAGTGATTCTCCTGCCTCAGCCTCCCAAGTAGCTGGGACTACAGGCACCTGCCACCATGTCCAGCTAATATTTTGTACTTTTAGTAGAGACAGGGTTTCACCAGGTTAGCCAGGATGGTCTCAATCTCCTGACCTCATGATCCACCCTCCTTGGCCTCCCAAAGTGCTGGGATTACAGGCATGAGCCAAGGTGCCCAGTCACCAAGAATATTTTTTAAAAGACTGTAGGCAGGTCATAGCAGCATCCCAGCAATGTTTTGTTTTTAAAACAGTATTACTGGCCGGGAATGGTGGCTCACGCCTGTAAATCCTAGCACTTCGGGAGGCCAGGGCGGGTGGATGGCTTGAGTCCAAGAGTTCAAGACCAGTCTGGGCAACATAGTGAAACCCCGTCTCTACTAAAAACACAAAAATTATCCGGGCATGGTGACACACACCTGTAGTCCCAGCTACTCAGGAGGCTGAAGCATGAGAATCACTCGAACCCTGAGAGGTGGGGGTTGCAGCAAGCTGAGATTGTGCCACTGCACTCCAGCCTGAGCGACAGAGTGAAACTGTCTCAAAAAAACAAACAAAATATAGCAGTATTACTGTCAGTTACATCAACATGGGAATTGAAGGATTCAATCACTTGCATATAGTACTGAATTTTAAAATGCCTATTTTAACAAATTACTACAGAGCTAGCTTCAGACTTTTTCTGAAAGTGTGAAAGTTTTTCTCACCAAAATGTGAAATGCTTCATCATTCCATAGCAGGGAAAAATGCATCTGAATAATAGGTCTACTGCAGGGGCCCCCAACCTTTCTTGCACCAGGGACCAGTTATGTGGAAGACAATTTTTCCACGGACTGCGGTGGGGTCGGGGGGTGGTTTGGGGGTGAAACTGCTCCACCTCAGATCATCAGGCACTAGATTCTCATAAGGAATGTGCAACCTAGATCCCTCATATGTGGACCTCACAAGAGGGTTTGCGCTCCCATGATAATCTAATGCTGCTGCTGATCTGACAGCAGGCGGAGCTCAGGCGGTAACTCTCACTTGCGCACGGCTCACCTCCTGCTATGCAGCCCATGGCCCGGTGATTGGGGACCCCTGGTCTACAGAACACTCTGGCATAACAGAATAAGTCATTCTTAAATAAGTTTTCCATAATAGGCAGGGCACAGTGGCTCATGCCTGTAATCCCAGCACTTTGGGAGCCCGAGGTGGGTGAATCATGAGGTCAGGAGAGACCATCCTGCCTAACACAGTAAAACCCTGTCTCTACTAAAAATACAAAAAATTAGCCGGGCATGGTAGCACATGCCTGTAGTCCCAGCTACTCAGGAGGCTGGGACAGGAGAATGGCTTGAACCCAGGAGGCAGAGGTTGCAGTGAGCCAAGATTGT